ATAATTACATTTTTTCTGACACGAAGTATGCTCGAACTTGCGTTCCCTCCACAATGAGCAAAGTGACAAACTAATTAATTAATTAATTTAAAATTAATTTTTATATTTTTTTTATATAAATTAATTAAAAAATTACATGTATTGTATATTTTAGATGCCAAAAAACCCATTAAAACATTATAAGTTAGAGGTGAGAAATACGATAATTACATTTTTTCTGATACGAAGTATGCTCGAACTTGCGTTCCCTTCGCAATGAGCAAAGTCACAAACTCGTAGAGCCACTGTATTTGTTATGCTAAGTTAGTACACAATATTATATTTATTCAGATTCGATTGATCTTATGATTAATCCGTTTAAACAGATCAAACTAAGAATCAAAGATTAAAACGATTTGATCTCTGAGTCGATTTTCAAAATACTGTAGACAATTGATATGGCTTGCAGGTCCAGCATTGATGGTAGAAAGCGGCCCTCCATGAATCGAATGCGACTTCTTGGTGACAAACTGAAATTAGATAAAGTGCACGACAGCTCTGCCTGTCTTGGATTATTGATATCTCTTCCAAATGCAGCATTTGAGCATGTGTTAAAATTCCAAAAGCAAAAAGCAATCATTCATGGCATCCACTGTATAAGGCAATTGCGGTTGGAGTGGAAAGCGATTCATAGCTGCAATGCGTTTTCTATGACTATAATTGAAAGCAGGTGTGTTTCGCTGCCGCTGCATTTGGGGTGGGGAGTCTTGAAATTGCCGAGACATGTTTTTAGCTCTATCCAAAAATCTGAATTTGTAGGTATTGCATAAATTCAAAGGAAAGGGTTCATCACATTTTGGACCAGCCCCTCTCTTATTGTTATAACCAAGGTAATCTCCTATTTTGAACTCAACGCTCTCAATCAGGTCCAGAGAATTTGCAGAAGCCAATTCCTCGAGATTCCAACAACAAAAAGGGTGTGTGATTTTATGGTTCACATGTATTTCACCATTGACTTGAAGCATTTTGCTTGCATTGCTGAAGAATCCACTCACAAGAGTCCTATGTTTCCTGGAGTATCATCAACATAGGGCATTAAAAATAACCAGAATGATAATAAGTTATACACACATCACGAACTAGAGAACTTACTGAATCACCCAGTAATAACTCTCCTTTCCATGGAAGCCTGAATGAGGGAAGTTGAAGATAATTCGATCAAACCTGCGCTTTTTTAAGTCATCATGATTCTTCATTTTGGTTGCATCGACTCCGTGTAAAATGGATGTGCCCAGCTTCTTCAAATTTTCCAAATTCGACTTGCCATTCTTGTAGTTGTTGATGACATCATCTGTTCAATCAGAAGACATACCATATACAAACAAGTAGAAAACAAAACAAACTCAGGCTCAGCAGATTCATTAACGTAACCAGGACATCAACACCAACTAATTAA